TTCTCAAAAAAAAAAAAACCAAAAAATCAACTCTGTTTCATCGATCTTTTGTGTTTTTTAAAATCTCAATTTCATTGATTTTGGCTCTTATTTTAATCATTTTGTATCTCCTATTGATTTGGGTGTTGTTTTGTTCTTCTTTATCTAGCACCTTGAGATGCAATTTTGGAGTATTTATTTGGTGTCTTTCAATTCTTTAAATTTATGAGCTCAATACCATGAACTTTCCTCTTACAACTGCCTTCACCCTGTCCCAGAGATTTTGAAATGTTGTCTCACTATTCTCATTGACTTCTAAGATTTTTTTTTTAATTTCTCCAGTGATTTTCATCTGCTATCCCTTCATCATTCAAACGGGCATAATTTAATCTCCAAGTATTAGAGTGGTTTATGTTCTTATCTTATCATTGATTACTAATTTCATTCCATTATGAGCTGATAGAATGCAGGAAATTATCTCTATTTTTTATATTTGCTAATATTTGCTTTGTGACCTAAAGTGGGGCCTATTTTAGCTTTTGTTTCCATCTTCTTAATGGTGTCTATCACACAGAAAAAGGTTTTAGTTTTGTTGAAATCCAATTCATCAGCTTTTCTTTTTTTCAATCATATTTTTGGATGAAGTCTGAATTTCAAAGGTTTTTTTGTTATCTTCTGGAGGAGTTGTAGTCTTATGTTTTGCATTGAAATCTAGGATACATGTGGATTGTTGTGATAAAGGCTTTAAGGTTTAACTTTTCTCCCTGTAGACGTCTTCTTGCTTGAGCATCATTATGGAAAAGGCCATGCTCCTTCAGTGGTTTATGTTGCACCTCTGCCACCAATCTGCTGGCTGTCCTTGTTGGGATTTTGTCACCAATCTGCTGGCTGTACTTTTGTGGGATTTGTGTCTTCCTATTTGTTGGCTCCATTCTGTTCCAATTATCTAAGTGTCTACTCTCCCCGTAGCACAAAGAAAAAAGAATGCAGACAGAATGCAGCAAAATAGATCTGTTTTCTCTAGAAATGAGGGAAGTGATTGCTTAAATGGTCTATTTTAGTCACACTGAAATATTTTCATTGCATGTTAGATTATTTGGTCTTTATCTACATCATATTTCAAGAGGTATCTAAAAGCACCTACCTTAATTTTAGGAAAGATGCATCTTAAATTCTACCAGTTATGGCTGCTTGCTTTTCCGTGGTAGTGGTAATGACATTTATCAACTTGTCCAGTCAATGACATTCTACAAATCTTTTTACATTTTTCAGTGTGTTAGTGAGACGGTGTGTGTGCCTTTTGTTAGGTTTGAAAACGTGATGGTCTTCATCTGGGCTGTCAGTCCTGCTAGGTGAGTCCTCCGGAGCATTGCTTTTCTATACAGGTAACTGTTTACAAACAGAACTGTGTTTTCCTCCTCCTGAACACGTTTTGTGCCCCTTACCTCTCTTCCTTTGTCACTTTTTCTATGCTAAGATCTTCAATTCAAGGTAGAGAAGAAGCAATGACAGCAGGCCCTTTTTTTTCTGAAGTTTGGTGGATGTCTTAAAATAAGGTCATTCTTCCTTCCACTGGCAAACGCTCATGCCTGTCCACTTTGCTAATCTGCAAGCAGGTAGGCATTTGCCTGGGTCCTTCTAAATGAGATTGACCTGTAGCTCTCCTTTTTGATTGTGCCCTCATTTGGTTTTATATTAAGCTTTTGCTAGCTCTAGAAAATGAATGGAGGTAATTAACATCTTTATTATATAAAAGAATTGGGTAAAAATGCAAGTTTTCCATCCTTAAATGTTGGAAGAATCATTTCAGCCATATCTCTGTTCTTGTTTTTATGGTTGAGTGTTTTCTCTTTGTTTTTGGGGGAATAAACTGGCTTAATTACTATAATGATATCAATCTATTCATTTTCTCTGTCTTCTCCCGTCCCATTCCATTAGTTGTATTTTACTAGGTAGTGTATGTTTCTCATGTCTTTCTTCACTTTTGCTCTTTGGTGGTTTCATTTCTAATTGTTTTATATTTTCCTCCTCCTCCTCCTCTCCTCCCTCCCCCTCCCTCCCCTCCCCTCCCCCTCCCTCCCCTCCCTCTACCCTCCCTCCCCTCCCTCTTCTCTTCCTCTTCTTCTTTGGTATGTGCTTCTTTTCTTTTTCCTTTCTACCTTTAGGAGTTTCATATTTTGCTCATTGTTTTTTGAAATGTATTCTTTTAAATATACACTTAATACTGTAAATTTATTTCTATGAGCTGCTTTAATTTAATCCAAAAAATTGATGTGGATGTTTTTTTGTCAGTGGATGATGGAAAATATTTATTGACTCTCCCTTTATTGCCCCACACTTTGTTGAGAATCAGCTTTTGTAAATTCCTGAACACTTTGGGGGTGAGGCTCCATTTCTGTTGTTGACATTCCACTCTTGACCGTGTTAAGATCCGGCCTTTGTATTTTCTCTCTTCTGTTTTGAAATTTGCTTTGTGGTCTAAGGCATGGTCCATTTTATAAATCACCCAATGTTTCTTGGGAAAAAGTCTGTTCCTGAATATTGGATGCAAGTTTTTAGAAATGTCCTTTTAGAATTATCTCTGCCCTTACTCATGCTGTCTCCTAGATGTAGCACTTTGGAGTGATTTGTGTAGAAGTCCTTGACACTTAGCGGGCCATAGCCACGTGGGGATCTTCACTCCAGTTGAGATGAGGGTTTCCAGAGTGCACAAGCAGAAAAATTCCAGGGCTCCATTTTCTTAGTGGGTTTCTCTCTTCTCTATTTTTCTGGTTTGCTGTGATATAATGCTCTGAGACCGTGCTGCTTAGGGCCTCGATAGGTTGCCAAGTCTGGCTCCAACTTGCAATACTCCTGCCTCAGCCTCCTAAGCTTCTAGGATGATGGCTGTGCACACTGTGGGCAGCCACATAATCATTACCTTTAATGTATTGTCTTGCACACTGACATACATACACATGAATGCAGCTGATGCACTTGTAATCAGACAAAAAGTCAGAATGCAAAGAAAAAGTCATAATACCCAATGTATTTTCAGACTATAAAGCACCAGGGTATAGATTATTTCAAGTCAAAGGACAGGACATTATTAGCAAAAGAAAAAAAAAAGTCTTTAAATCAAGATTATAAACATGTTTAATTTGAAATTTAACAATAGTGGCCTTTGGTTCTTACAAATCATAGAGAATCAGGACGTTAATCTGAGAGCAACCCTCCGTGCCAGTTGGACAGGCTGTGGGGGATTACTCGAGGAGTCTTGAGCTGTCCCTGCAGGATCCTTAAAGGTTGATTGCAGTTTCCTTCTGGGACCCTGAGACCTGGAGAATGGCTGTGTCATTGGACGGTCCTCCCCTGCCAGCTCCACAAGACTCACACACGTCCCTCTAGATGCCGTTCTGCTTCTGTAGGTTTTCCTGGTGGCCCTGATGACTTCTGGTCACCTAATGACAAGCTAGGACATTCACCTGATTGTGGTGAGAGTCAAAGCTGCTGCATCAAATCTGATGCTGTTTTCTAAACAGATCTAAGGGCAGAAACAGGCCCTGCTCAGTACTAACGAGGGCCGTCTGTGGCCTCTGGGGCTCATGACAGATGGACACACTTGGGGCAGTCTGTCATTACTTCAGAGTGTCCATTTGTGTCAGGGTCATTGAAAAGGGACCATTTTGTGAATAGGTAGTTGAAATTTCCGTCATCACTTTTACAAGCACTTATGAAAAATCTTATGAAAAATGATGGTGAAATGGTAAGCTTTCGTCAAAAGCAAATAAACAAGATCCCACACTGCTTCCCCCCCCCCCCGTCCTTCCAGTATCCGTAAAGGGAGTCGCACGTGAAATGCCTGTCTTTACACAATCCTGGTGTTTTGTCTTGCTTGCTTGTGGGCCTGTGTGAAGCACATCTGACTCTCAGAACCACCCCTTTGGTCTTGGGCAAGCTTCAGCGGTTCTCAACTAAGTTTTCTTTACTTGCAAAACAGTGATGGTCATATAATAGAGCTGGTGTTTGTGAGAGTAGAGAATTACAGTATGGAGAAACACAGAAGGGGGACAGCATTGTCCCATCTTGTCCTGTCCAAGGACCAGGGCGCCATTCCAAAGACGAAGATGACCCAGCCTGAGACGTCTACCTCGATGGCAAGCGCCCAGCCACACAGATTGCCCATGTAGTTACTTCAGCTTGCTTGAGAGTCCTGAGTATTTAAGTAAAGCGTGTATAAATGCTGATCTCGATCCACCCTGGTCAGCCAGATTCTAGACTTTTCAGTGATTAACATTCATTTTCTGCCAACAGGGAAATTTTGGCCTCATAGTAAATACATGTCTGTAAAGTTTCATTTTGGTGTTTTGGGTGGTGGTCAGGAAATAGAACCTTAAAGGAAAGTGTTATAAGTTAACAGAATGGAAGTTCAGTGTGTTAAGCCCTATATTAGGAAAACAAAGCCCACAACAGCCACGATCCTATGCTTTATTTTGTGATGATAAAGAAAAATCTCTGTGCCTTCTCTCTTACACTTGACCATAGTTATGGCTTTTAGAAATAAATGCCACTGGTCGTGATGAAAAATGTTCAGCAAGAAATCGGTGAAAGTGACCATGTTGGGATCCAAACAACTGATAGGGTAGGTGCACTCTATGACATTAAGTTGTATGCAAAGCCAGTTTTCTTAGGGTGTTCTGGGGGAACTGGAATGACTTAAACGCACAGAGTTAGCATTATTTAGTGAGAAGAAGTTTAAAACAATGGGCCACACTTAGACCTTTGATGTAGGTTTACAAAATTAGGAAAGGATGGTGGTGGTTATTGAACCAACCTATCTATGTCTAATTCTGTGATGGGATTGTCACCACGTCACCAGCCGAGTAAGACATCGGCTCTGCTTGTGTCTCCCATCTGTAAAGAGGACTTTGTGTGTGCATGTCAAGCACAGAGCACTGAACTAGTTTGTGCTTGTGCCCTGGGTGGTTTGAAGTCACCGCCCGAGAGCAGGTCGAGTGACTCCCGCCTTCCGTCTGTTGCAGGTTGCTTTCAGCTATGTAACGTGTTCCGATCCCATGAGATGGAAATTGACCAGTGCCTGCTGGAGTCCCTTCCCCTGGGCCAGCGGCAGCGGCTGGTGAAGCGCATGCGCTGTGAACAGATCAAAGCCTACTATGAGCGCGAGAAGGCCTTGCAGAAGCAGGAAGGGTTCCTGCGGAGGCTGAGGCATGGGAAGCACCAGAAAGTGCATTTCAACCTCGCCGACATGATCCAGGACGCCATCATCCACCACAACGACAAAGAAGGTGCGTGGCGTGGGGTGAGGCCGCCCCTGTGGTTGGTTTCTCATGGTGGGTTTTGGTTGGGTTTGGGTGGAGGATGGGGGATAAAAAGCCTCTTTAAATATTGGAGCAGGCTTTCTTTTCACTGTCTGAACTATTCAAGGGGAAAAAAATTGCTCTGTCCAAAGAACCTTTATCAAAAGTCGCAAGTACCCCCAAAAGATGAAAAACGTGGAATTGTTGAGTTTTGCTTTTTTAGAGCTATCTGAAAAGCAAGTGATTTCTTTCCAAATTATTCATTCAGATTGTTAACGAAATTTTTATTTATGAAATTGCTTCCTTTGATGATTCTGACTGTGAAATTCATTGATGGTCAGCTCCTACATGATAGATAGGTTAGTAAAGTCACTTCCCTCAAAACTCTCAGGACGTAATAGTCACCTTATCCAGAATTCATTGGAGCGGTTCCCCTGTCTTCTAGGAGTTTAAAGTTCCAGGTCTTTGGTGCATGTTTGTTGCCTTTTGGGCAGGTGGGAGGGGTCGGGTTTCTGTCTTCCCAGTGTGGGGATCCAGTTTCCCCGCCTCCCGTGCAGACACGGCCCTTCCCCAGGTCTGATTGGGGTCCTGTATGGAGGACCAGGTCTCTAGTAAGGGCTGATTTCTGATCTTATGTTCTGTCCCGGGGCCTGTGTGTTAGTTCAGCGCTGTTGTCCCTCCTGCCCTCTGTGGTCTTCCCAGAGGTCCAGCATCGCGAAGCTGCCAGCTGTGTTCATTTCCACCAAGGCTGCGCTGAATTTGTCTGGCTCCTGGTGCCACACGTTTCTAAGGCTGCCCAGTCTGAATCTCGGTTGTCTTCAAAGACCAAGGGCTCACCTTTCCCAGATTCCTGTGTGTGAATCTTGTTTCTGGCTAGAACCTTCTCGCCCAGGTTCTAGTGCGAGGGAACTGTTTGAGCTCTGCGTCTGGGTGAGGAAGGCCTTGAAGAAACAACTGTAAATTATTGACCTTGGTTGGCGCTAACACCAGCGGTTGATTAATGTAGGTGTTCTTCACAATGCATTCAGCACAGTCGGAAATTCAAAAAGCTCTGAAACCAATTTTTTTTTTTGGTAGCTCATTTAGTGGCAGAACTTTCCCTGACCTAGTTATGTTTTTTAACTTGTTCAATATGGAAAAATCATAAATCTAATAGCACTTGTGATTCCAAGGCTTTCAAACAGGGATTGTGAATCTGTATCTAAGAAAACAGCATGTCATACACAAGAAGAACTAATGAGACTCGCTGGTTCAGTAGAGTCCTGGAGAGCTCTGCTGTATGTAGAGCACAGTGGAGTAGAGGGACTCTGAAGGGGGTGGCCTGGCAGGACCTGCAGGATCGTCCAGACCAGTTTCCTGGGCACTGAGCTCAGGCTCTGGACTCCCGCTGGTGTTCTCTGCTCCCCGTGGCTCTTCACTGACACCTCCTCTTGGCATCCATAAGAGGCTGAGGGCAGGGACAGTGTCCCCTGGACACCTGTTCCCTCCTGCCTTTGCCGTCCCTTCCAGGAGAGTGGGGGAAGAGGCTGGGCAGCTGTCCTGCCTCGCCACAGGGGTTTCCAGGCAAACACCAGGATGCGGGTCTTTACGCTGAAGCCCTACATGGACTGCAAACTAAGGAAACAAAAAATCACTTGTAAAGTTATAAAGTCTCCTGTGCAAAGTATCTGCAGGCATTGGGAAATAACTAAGTCAAGGTTAAACTGAGCAGCCAAGTGATGGACTCGGAGCCCCACGGGCAGCTGGTGTACGGTTATAAGGTGACGTCTGGGGACCGTCCTGTCAGACCACCTGAGCTCACCCGGTAAGCAGCTGCTGTTGGCAGAACTGTGCTGTCACCTTGGTGCTCACAGAGCAGGAAGAGTGTGGACCCCACCCTCTAAATTTTCCAGTCTAGTTGAGAGAGAATGATAAACCTGGGAACAGAGGGCACAGCTGCTGAGTGACCGTGACGGGGAGGCTGGTGGGCTGCGTCTGCTGGGCAGAGCTCCTCCGAGAACCTGGTGGTCGAGGCTGTGACCTTGATGCTTGATCCTGAAGGCTCGAGGGGAGGAAAGAAGAGCAGACCGCACGGGCAGCGGCCAGCAGCTGCGCAGACCTGGAGCCCAGGGGGGGCCTGTCTGGAAGGAGCAGGAAGGAGGAGGGGGGTCCCCCAAGGCACGCTTGAGAGGCGTGAGGTGATGGGGACACACCAGGTGCTGTTGTCCCTCCTCCTCCTGTGGTTTCCCCGGAAGTCCGGTATCCACAGGCTCCTAGAAAGACATGGCTACCCGCAGGTGGCTGTGGGTGAGGCTCACTCCGGGCTGTTTAGCTGTAGGGACGACTGAAGGGTGGGATCCGAACTGAAGCAGGTCCCCCCACGGGAAGCAGTCACCTCACTGGGAGGAGAGTGAGCAGAGCTGTTGCTGTGGGAACAAGGTGAAGGACACCCCAAGGTGACAGTCCAGGGAAGAGAGTGTCAGCTGGCCCAGGACGTGCTGTACCCTGGAAGGGCACCTGTGAGGGAGGCACCCACCACCTGGGCCACTGGGCTGTGCCGTTGGTGTGGTGGAGGTGACCACGGCCAGGCAGGTGCTGTGGACACGGGGCCACCCTGAGGAGACCAGAGCTCATCATGCAGACGTCTGGGGTGAGCGTCTGCTGGGCGTTGGAGGGGCAGCAAGACCACCAGTGTAGAGGGGCCAAGTGGGTGAGCAGGGACAGCAGGAGGCACTGGCCTGGAGGAGTGGGCAGGTGCATGCAGAGGGCCCTGGCTCTTGTGTGCAGGGGGCTCTGACACCACTGGAGGTTGGGGACAAAGAGACTGAATGCCACCTCAGAGTTAACGGGTCAGCGGGTCTGGGTGGGGTGGACCGAGGACTTTGAGGCCAGGAGCAGAGAGCTGGCAGGAGGTGAGAGCGTGGCTCGGCCCAGAGGGGAGCTAACGGGGTCTCTGAGGAGAGAGCAGGCGGGGCGTGTTGGTTGGCTGGGGGGGTGTTGATTCTCTGTTGCCTCCAGGACAGATCACCCAAGTCTGGGCATTGAAAAGGGCGACGTGTGTCCCCCACAGTTGTGTGGGCCAGAAGCCAGGCGCGGGTCTCCCTGGGTGGAAGGCAGGTGTCCTCAGACCTGCTCCTGCCACTTCAGCTTCCAAGGCCACGGCCTTAACTGACCCCGGCCTGCTCTGCCGCGGTCACTGCCAGCCCAGGTGGATCCGGCTCCTTCCTGCTGTTCGCATTCCACCCTTTTCCTTTCCTATCTTGCAGCTCTCTGACCAGCTCTTCTGCCAGCCTCTTCCATTTTTAGGGCCCCGTGTGAGGACACTGGCTCATCTGGACAGTCCAGCATCTTCTCATGGCTCTCAGGTCATTCTTTACTAACTGTAATTTGCTTTCCCCAGAAAATTCAGTGCATTCCATAGGGCACAACTTGGGAGCCAGAGTCCTGCTCACTGTAGGAATAATGGACTTAAAAGTGGTGCACACCTGTAATCCCAGTGGTTTGGGAGGCTGAGGCAGGAGGATTACGAGTTCAAAGCCAGCCTCAGCAAAAAGCAAGGCTGTTAGGCAACTCAGTGAGACCCTGTCTCTAAATAAAATACAAAATAGGGCTGGGGATGTGGCTCAGTGATTCAATGTCCCTGAGTTCAATCCCTAGTGCCACACACACACACACAAAGACAGTGTCAGTTGTTTTGGCCTGAACAACCAGAAGGATGGAAGGCACTGACAAGGCAGGGTCCCTCCGGGAGCCCAGGTTGAGAGCGGCAGGCAGCGCCTCACTGGCTGGGGATAGAGAGCTGAGGCTCCTGAGCCCAGAGATGGTGCGGAAAGCCAGGGGGCAGGTCCACTCACCCAGGGAGCAAACTCAGATACGATTTGAACCCCAGGCTGAGACCTGAGGATCTGGTACCAAGAACTCCCCGAAAGGCGGCAGAACCACAGGAAGAAAGGAGGAAAATGAGGTCAGGTGCTTTCTTGGGTCGTGAGGGGAAGCTTCCAAGGAGGAGGGATGGGTCATTAGGCCAGCTGCCGCCGCCCAGGGGGATGGAGGTGGTTGGCTCAGGTGAATCATGGGAAGAACGCCTCCAGGGCTGGGAGCCAGAGCGGGGAAGTAGAAATGGACCTGGAAAGCGCAAGGACTCCTTCACGGGGCTTTCCGTGAGGATGAGAGAAATGGAAGGTGTGGGAGGAGGAGAAGCGGTTTCAGGTGTGCACGGAGAACACAGCTCATCTGAGAGGGACGCTGATGACCTGGAGAGCTGCGAGGCTGCAGCGGGTCCACGTGCACGCAGACCCACCAGACCTGGTCCCACGTGGCCGGCGTGGCTGCGGCTGGGACATGCGTCCTGGAGGCCCCAGCCCTGGCCGCTGGGCCGGTCCTCTAGGAGCTCTAGTGTTAATCTCCGTGTCCAGGCCCTACCTTGGGGTCTGACTGGACCAGCCTGAAGGGGGCAGTTTTCAGAGATGCTGGGAGACAGGGTCAGTGGGTGGAGGGCGGCCCAAGGCAGCTCCTCCTGGTGAATCTGGTGGGAGAACCAGGGCTGTCCACTAAGAGGGGATGGAGCCCAGGAGCTGCAGGGTAAGCAAAGAGGAGAAAGGGTGCGCGTGTGAGACACACGGGCAGAGAGATGCAGTATGGAAGGACTTACAGGAGAAATGCGGTATAACAATACAGACTGAAAAGGAAGAGCAGCGTGACTCAGCGGTTTCAAAAACGGTCTGGCATCATCTTCCTGCCCCTATCCTGAGACCTTCCTATAGCTTTCGTGACACAGCCTGTCCTTGGGTTGCCGTCCCAGACACCATTCCACATGGGTCCTGAGGTGCCATTTTGGTGAGGTTCAACACGAGCTTCTCAGAAGACTTCAGGATTTCTTGCCAAGACAGACTCTCCTGGTGACTGCACGTGCCTGGCAAAGACTCGCCAGCCAAGTTAGCAAATGAGTGAGCACAGTAGGTGGGGTAGGGTGTTCATGGATGTTGGTGTAAAGGTGTGAACTTAAACAA